CTCTGCCCTTTATAGGCAAGAAGGGTAAGGCACAAAAATGAAAATAAAATTTTCTTCTTGTCTAATGTCATGTGACTGACCATGGTGTGCATCTATTTTTTAACTTGACTGTAATGGCGGGCTCGAAATCATGTGACGGTAACAAGATGGCGCCAGGTCGAATCGTCTGGCTCGGCGTAGACTAAAATCTAGTCTCTGAAATGAACATATCGTACATAAAAAAAACAGTTGTTCAGTTATCTTAATAAAAATATAATAAAAAGGAGCCCAGTGACTCTCTTCATCTAGACTTGCCAAACATTATAGACTTGCATGGGCTGTATTTGATATATATTTGTATCAGGGTCTGTAAGACAGACTAGGCTCGGCGAGGCATTAGCGCTATAAAATTAACAAGACATGGTCATTTGACCATCCAAGTGTTAACAGAACTAAATGTTCTCAAAGGTAAGACTTAAAAAATTTTAGTATAAAGGGATTGTTATGAGACACGTAATAAGATATACGTCTTATGGGCTTCAAAACCCGTAACACAAGCATACACATATTACGGCAATCAGACATAGAAATGTGTTCTCATATCTGGGTATCTTCCATGTATCTTGTCGTGTGCCTCAGAGAATCAGATCAACACGTTAGTATTCTACAGCTTACAGTGCATAACATATGTTTCTAAATGTTAATCGTGTTGTCTCAGTCAGTTTTATGTTAAACTATGAAAAATTGAAAATGTATTGCTATCCGATGTTATAAACTTCACAATTTAAATTAATTTGGAACATATATTTTACCCATTTAAAAACAAGTTAGTTAAGAAAACCAACAACATTTTTTAATACTTTAACACACGTCAGACAGAATTTACAGGAGACAGATATCTTCCTGCTTCACAAACGCTCCGTGTTTTGATTGAGTTTTCTGTGATTTAACTTGACTCATCTTTCCAACCTCTTTAATAAACTCCAAAGCCACGAAGCCTAAGTTAGACGAAGAAAAAGGTTGCAGTTTTTAAGCAGATAACGTGTGGGACTCTTGCGTCTCTTCGTGTCTGGCAAGAAGACAATATTGGGGGAATACATCAAAATTCATAAGGCACAAAATCAATTAGATTTCCCGTGTTGGAAATATATCAATCACTTTGGCCGCAGGACAGAATCCAGGCGTGTTTTATAAGAGTTTTGAGTATTTACTTGTCTCATGTATGCTCTTACGTTAAACGCACATAAGATCATTCTAAATTGGTATCAGGTTACATCCATTTTGGCATTCAATGATCAATTCAATGATCAACAGGTGGGATTGTTTTACAGTATCCGTCTGAAGAACGGTTTCAATTGGAATAAAGTCTGGGTTGATTGATGGTACTAATGTACGAATAGGCTCTGTAGTGTTGAATCTCCTTGTTTAACTTGACACGAGGCAGTGTGTTTCTGATGTAGCTAAAAGTACACTCATCAATCAAAAACATGTCAGCAACGTGCCACGGGTCTTTTTATGGTTTCTTTTACCTTTTACTTGAAAAGGTTTTATACTGCAACATCTTAAGATGATCTGAACAGCATAGAAATAGTCACATGTTTACGTTTTCTTGAACTCACTTCATGTTTGGTAATGTGTGTTGACTTGAGGCAGGAGTAACCAAATATATTTGGTTATGGCGGCCAGTCTGCTATGCAGAGTTGCATCCTTTAGACACCCAAGGATTCTATGATCGCGGATTCGAATTCCAGATAACGAGGGTTTAATCTTCAATACATCACATATTCGAAAATGTATGAAAACGTTTCTAATGATGGCGTCTTATAACAGTATATTCATACTGTTTTATTGTACAGCAGATGATACAAAGGTAAAGAATAATATGCAAAATAAAGAATCTTTTCTACAAAACAGACATATATTTCCATCCTCTCGGGAATTCAATTTTCCTACACATCGGTACATGAATAACTGGCTATATAGACGACCAAACACAGACATGCATCATGTTTAACATGGCACGATTGGCAACCACAGTGGTACATTAGGTACAGAGGTAGAGCAGAACCTATGTCAAATATCACACTACACAGCAAAATATGAAATGGCCGAGAAATAGGCGATAATGACATTTTTTATTATTGCTGCCATGGCATTCGTATCAGAATTTTGTGAGCACATTAGAGGCACCGTTGCTTGGATCGTATATTTCTGCTACAAAAATAGAGATTCCAGAAGATATAACAGAAACCCCGGTTCGTCCCAATTATGTTTCTAGATTCGTCAGCACTATGCTCGTGGGTTTCACAAAAGCGGTAAACGTTTGATAAAACAACAATTGTTAGTTGAAATAATAATTTCTAGATTATGTTAATAATAAGAACAAGTTGTCCCTAGAGACTGGCGTCCTTAGTACTGTCCACATATCTAGACTTGCTTATTGGGAGGATAGAATTACTTTACACCCATGGACTTCTCTTTCAGTTCAGCGTTGGAGCAAGGATTGTCGGAGACCTGCATCATTTCGGGATTTTCTCCCACACTAAGCTGACACGCCGTGATATAACTGGAATATACTGCTCAAAGCTAGTCTGTCATACAGACCCTTAACAAATGTATCCAATACAGTCCATGCAACTCTATAATATTAAGCAAGTCTAGATTACTGCAGTATCGAAGAGAGGCCTCAGGGTTCCTTTTCATTATATTTCATAACTATAATTTAACAACTGTTTTTATCCGTAAAATATGTTGATTTCAGCGACTAGATCTTAGTCAAGTCAAGTTCAAACCCAACAAAAGTTGAGCTTAACATATTAAATTGTGTCTTGTTAATAAATCTTGTTAAAAGAGTGTTGCAATCTTTACAAACGTAAACCTCAATGAAAACCACGCATATATGTCCATTTTTACCCACTTTGTCGACTACATGACATTAAACATAACTGTGGATATAGGAAACTATCTTACATGCGTGATATATTGCAAGGGTTCATCTGATTCCCTTCTCAGTTAAAGTTCACAAACGGAAGATTGATGTATTCCTAGCAGCGATCGTAACGTGCACGGCCCGACGTTCAATGGATCATACCGGCATATGGAAATAGGGATATAGCATTTATACACTTCACCTGTCAAGCCGACAGACGTGAGTCACGACACTGCAGTGTACCACGCTAAGCAGTGTATAGTTGCCCTGACGCCAGTGGTGCCAATCATATCCAATATTTGGCGAGTTTCGTGTGGGCAATGATCAGTACAGCGCATCCCTGTGCTTGTCGTTGTATATGCTGAATTGGAAATACAAGGTTGGTCTAGCCGCTGGGCATGCGTCTAACACACACGTGTGTTTATGTGTGTGTGGGCGTGTGTGTTTCTGTATCCGACTGGGTGGCGGATGTAGGGAGAATGTATATTGACGTGTCATGGGTATTATGTATATGTCTGACATCCATGGGGTATTTCAGTGGGGCGTCACGAACGTCAGACTGCAACTGTGAGAAATTGAAAGGTGATGTTTTTAAAATTCCCTTTACCTTTCCTTACTAAAATAGAATAAATCAATAAAGCCTCCCCTCCCTCTTCAGTTAAAAACAAAATGTAAGAGACAAATTAGTTTGTTTTTATGCAGCCGAAATGTTTTTCATACTTATTTGGCTGTGTTGCGTGTAATGTTAGATGTGAGACAAAGTGGCTTCAATGTAATAGTCTTTAACATTTAAAGCGTTGGTGAGTGAGTATGGTTTTACGCCACTTTTAGCAATATTCCAGCAATATCACGGCGGGGGGCACTAGAAATGGGCTTCACACATTATGCCAATGAGGGGAATCGAACCCGGGTCTTCAGCGTGAGGAGCGAACGTTTTAACCGTTAGGCTACCCAACCGCCTCTAATCTGTAACGAACAATTCTATGGTAACAAGTCTTTATGTAGAGGGGTCACACATTACGTATAGCAGTTTCTAGGATTTTTCGCTTCACTGTGGTCACGGTTGAGAGTGCATGTGACAATGATGCTTGAACAAAATAGAAACTTCAAGTTTAAATAATTATCAAATACAAAGTTTCACCTCGATCGAACATCCATTTTGTTGTTCAATTTGAAATTTGATGAACCCTTTGGTCCTGGTGAACTAATACAAAACTCCCGAGATCCCAAGATTGAACAGATGTTTTGTTAATTTATTCAATTCTGTCAAATACCCCCAGGGTCCTGATCAGGTTGGTCTTCCAGTGTTGAGTCAAATCAAACCACGGGCTCCGCTCCTCATAGTTCCCTTTCGCCAACTTTCAGATTTGCAACAATACTTCAGCTGGAACCCGAAATCAAGATTCTTCAGTGAAACATAACAACGAATTACACAGTCTCAATTTTAATGTTTATTGTCACTGTTTTCTTTCACAGAACTGGAATTTAGTAAGTAGTCTCCAATGTAGTCTGTCTTACAGACCCTGATACAAATATATATCAAAAATAGCCCATGCAAGTCTATAATGTTTGGCAAGTCTAGATCACTGCAGTATCTGAAAATGAAGAGAGTCACTGGGCTCCTTTTTATTATATTTTTATTAAGATAACTGAACAACTGTTTTTTTATGTACGATATGTTCATTTCAGAGACTAAATGTTAGTCTATCTCCAATGATTTATCAGTGATTCACATGCCTATAAGATATCATACTCAAAAATAAACTTTTGTTAAACCTCTTGAACTCGACATCGCTGGGACACTTTATATCAGATTATCCCTCGGGACAAGCGGAGTGTCGACAGAGAGGCAGTCCACAGAGCTGATACAGTTGCCACAAAGTTACATCCATCATTTATTACTCGAGATCGCCCGTTTAATAAACATACAGCTGTATTACACATTGTGTAAAGCCGAAGCAAAGGAGCTCGTCTCCCTGAACGGCGTTAACCAATAAACAAACTAAACGTTTAACGTGAACGGCGTTAACCAATAAACAAAATGAAGATTGGGTGGTCAGTGTCGATACCCCGGAGTGAATCATTGATTATGCTAACCGCCACTGGTTTGCCTAACCAAGGTTGGATTATCATATTACTCGCGGCATGAACAACATTCATCTCAACAACAGAAGACTCCAAATAACACAAGAATCTGAAGTTCTGATCTAAAGCTCTCTCTCTTTCTTTTCTCTCTCTCAGGTACTTAACCGCTTATCATCAAAACAGAATATAGGGTGATGTATTATCATGCCATCCAACTGCCTCACAACCTCACCTCAAACAAATTCGTCCCATAATACCCGTTCTCTTATTTCTTGACAGGATTATATACTCCATACTTTCACTAGTTACACAAAACAGGCCTTAATCTACAGTCGTGGCAGACACGTATATCTTTCGGAGGCCTGACTTTGTGAAAAAGTCCGCATGTTAATCTGCCGTATATCCAGTTGACCTTAAAGTGTATCACGACATTAGCCGATCATACTTTGGCGTGTGGGAATACTGACTCGTGTATAAATCTTTCTTTAAAGAATGAGAAATATCTTTGGCTTCCAGGAAGCATAATCATATCGCAGCTATGACTACACATACACAACACGAAATTATTGTCTTTTTTCCCGACGATGGGGTCACAATGACATGGTGGTTTTTGTCTGCCATCCATTTTTCGGCTCTTTAAGCACATATATCTCCTTGAAGTTAAGTGTGCTATTTTAATTGCTGGGTGAGATCGTCCTCGTTCACAGCAGCAAACATCACGGCTAATCTGACACTAATTGTACGCACATTTCAATGAGAGCCGTTTCGCATACAAAGGCGTAAGGTCGCTTCTTTGCGTACCACATTCGACATCAGTAGTTTTTCAAGGCAACTGATGACAAGCTGCACACATAATGATGACGTCACCAGTAACTGAGTACAGTTATGGTCCCTGGTTTCTCTGGAGAAGCTGTCACGAGACGGAGATCGCAGACTTTTATCAGATGAAGCAGCGTGGGATGGCGATGGATGCAGTTTAAGACCTGTCCACTCTGAAATGAAACATGAGATAAATACTCTCTCGTACAGCCAATAAGATTCTAACGGTCAGGTAAAATACCCCACTTGGAATAACAAATTACAATGAAGAAGTGTCTTTCTGTCGTTCTGGATTGCCCCTCAATGTAAAAGTCAACAAATCTATTCTCACACACACACACACACACACACACACACACACACACACACACACTAACACTAACACACTAACACTAACACACACACTAACACACACACACACACACACTAACACTAACACTAACACTAACACTAACACTACATAACGTATAACGCATCCAATATAATGTCTGTCTATGAAATGGGGGAACTCAAAACTGTATATTTGAAATTAGTCTCTGGGGAGCAAAGTCCAGAGAGACCATTGCTGAGATCTTCCATGCACAGGTTTAGCTTCATGCGCCTTGTGGTTGCAGAAGTGTTAAGTCCCAAGGGTGGAGGGACGGATGGCTTCAGTTCAAAGCCGGGAAATATTGCTGTTTCTTTATTGATTAATGGTTCTTCTAAACCATTAGCGTCCTCATTGGACCGAACACAGCGAGGATCGTTCCTCAAATAATACAAAATCATGTTTGTTGAAATACAAAATTGCGGCTTACTCTGTAGTCCCAAACAACAAGTTTCTTCTGATCTCCCCCTGTGACCAGCCTGTCGTCATTCAGGTGGATACATCTCACGATGCCCAGGTGCTGCCGCTGCTTGTGTAACAGTTCGCCTGGAACAGGCAAAGAGCGACGTTGGAGGTATATTGTATCCTACAAAGACTTTCAACTGGTGACCCGTGAAGATCTGGGTTAGAATAGGTTTTCAGCAAAACATGCATGCTGTAAAAGGCGAGTATACTTGTCGTAAGAGGCAACTAATGGAATCTAATAATGACCGTTCATGTACTGTGATTGGGAGATGTGGATTATATATTTATATTGGGTGGACATTTCTGGATCCGCTTCTAAATGTGCACGTGCGGAAACACCTGCGCCTGATGTATGACCTTTGTCATAACGATAGCGACGGACAATTAGAGCAAATATTAATAACACACCTGGTTGAATAATTAACGAATCGAGCGTGGTTTAAATAAAGAAACTCGGCATGGTTGAAGGCAATTTCAGTCGATGATAACTTCCGGTAGGCCTCCAAATGATGCTAATATGATTGATATTACTATATTACTTACAAAATGACATAGTTTATGGAAAAAAGCCTAAATCTTAATCCTAAAAGTCTATTCTTGGGTTATACCTTGTTCAATACAGCATCGGACAATAAGGATAATATGCATGCACCATAAGGTAGAAATATAGATTTTTTTATAAGGATTTGGCATTTGTAAAGAATATTCGCCTCAAGTTTCTTCCTCATGTAAACAATACGACGGGCAAAAACAAAATGTATTGACAATAAAAGTTCTAAAACGTGGCTCAGGAGATGTTCGTATTGCACAAACGACACTCTCTTGGAAGATAACTATCAGCTTCCTTAAAAACACGATTTGTAAAGAGCCGTGTACAGCTGTGACAATGTAATATTTGATGACACATTCCTACACTAATCCTGATGAAACGGATCTTTCTACAACCCCTGTCCTCCCCATCACGGTTCACCAATTAGAAGACAGGGGAACAAAACAAAGTGACATTTGAAAAGAAGTGCCCGACCGTATCAAGCCTTGTCATTCCGCCAAAACAAGCTGCTCGAGTTGCCTCCCCGTTGCGCATGAGCGGATCTTTATTTCCGGTGCAGTAAAGCTGAACGTTAGGACGTATGAAAGACAGGCTACGACAAGGTCATAATAATATGTATGAGATCATGAAATGAAGCCATTATCAACGTCATTTAATAGCGACGTGCATGCATGCGTGCGTGCTTGTCCGGACTAATGCCGAATGTATAGTGTTAGCCCACTGAGATACCATGCCGCATCTTAACATGAATACCCCACTCAGACGCAGCAGACTGTCTCCGAGACGACCAGTGCTAGTTTAATCCCTTAATGTCGAGCTCGAGACAGGGTAACAACAAGTAGCATCTTATAACGTCAATTGGTATGACGAGGCCGGGGATCGATCCCCCGATTTTCCGCTCTCCAGGGAGACGCTCTACAGCTAGACCACGGAGGTGGTCTTACTCGCGGGTGAAAGCCGTTTCGGTAACCTTGTGGTTAAAGCGTTATCTCGTTACAATGAAGACCGGGGTTCGATTCCTCACATGAGTACAGTGTGTGAGCCCATTTTCGGCGCCCCATACTGCACTATGGCAGAAATATCTTAAAGCGGCGTAAAAAAAAACATCCTCTTGTTCACAAATCTAAGTTGAGTGATGCGATTCTTATCATAGTAATTTAAGTATTATAATGCAAGAATAGAATTGACTTCACACAGAATCGAACCCCGGACTTCTGCGGATTAACCGAAGGAAAAAACAAGAAGTTTACTCTTCCGCCACGTATCTACACTTATCTTGAAAACTAACTAATAATTAGATACTTGTCAGTTAGAAAATAATTGATAACCGTTTCTCAAAAGAACTAAGTGAAATGTGGACCGTCCAACATTTTAATGTTCATCAATAGTTGGACTACGGTAACAATTAATGTCCTTCAATCGAAGTATATATCTGAATTGATGCTATATTTATAATTAATAATACAGTGAGTATGTTATAAATTGGTCTGTTATATCACGGCGTGTCAGCCTAATGTTGGAGGAAAGCCCGAAGGTCTCAGACGTTTACCACTTTGGTGAAACCCCTTATGGCGTATGGGTGTGGTGCTGATAAACCTAGACCCATAACCGGGTCGAACCGGGATTCGAACACACGATCATAAGGTCCTGGCGTGCTCAAGGAACGCAACTCTGCATAGGGAAGTGCGACGCCTTGGACTTGTCCCAGTGCCTAGAGGGTAAAGCGATTACCCCCATGGGTGAACGCCGTTTCGGTTGACGGCGAAAAACCATACTCACTCACTGAAAGAACCCGTAATTGCGTTCACTAAACGCGGCATCCTAATCCAAACACAAAAAAAACATGCAAAATCCACACATAAGCACTCACAAACCTAACGTGAGACAACATGCAAAAACACTAACGCGAGACAGCCAATACATGTATCTCATTATTAATCTAAATTAATAACCGGATTGTCGGCGCATGTCCAGCACGCCACCAACTGAAGCCTTCCCGACAAGTAATGTTGGTTCTCCCCATCAGTATACCAAGTAATTTGTCCCGCGGCTACAGTAATATAATTGACGCAGTTGTGGCTATCGTCAAAATTAATCGACTATTGAGTGCTTCCATAGTGAAGATTATTATCTCGGATATGGGAACATTTAGCCATCATCGTAGCATCCCCTGAACCAAATAGCATTTGTAGATCCGGTCTTGTCGCATTCTTTTATTGCAGCTGTCTTTCTTTACTTGTTGTTAAGAGATACGCCTGAAGCAAACATGAACGTTTTTTTTACTTCTTCGGTGACACGCCTGGCGCAGGTGTAAGATGTGTAAATCATGCATACGTCTACTTATAGATACTGCCAAGCAGATGGAAATGGATGGATAAAAACAGCGATGAAGCAGTCATTGCAACGTGCTTTATTTCAATTGTGAAACAGTGAAGTCAGCAGTCATTGGGTTAGTCTGCCATACAGATCCTGAAACAAATATATCCAAAACAGCCCATGCAAGTCTACAATAGTGGGCAAGTCTAGATAACTGCAGTTTTTGAAAATGAAGGGAATGTCTGAGCTCCTTTTAATTGTTTTTCTTTACGATGATTTAACAACTGTTTTTTTTCTGAAAGATATGTCCATTTCAGGGACTAAATGTTAGTCTAACATTGGGCCTGCTCTATTGAAATGATCAAACAGCAATGAAGTCAGCAGTCATTCGGTCTAGTCCTATTGAAATGGTCAAACAGAAATGAAGTCAGCATTCATTTGGTCTAGCAGTATTGAAATGATCTGACAGCAATGAAGTCAGCAGTCATTCGGTCTAGTCCTATTGAAATGGTCAAACAGCAATGAAGTCAGCAGTCATTTGGTCTAGCAGTATTGAAATGATCTGACAGCAATGAAGTCAGCAGTCATTCGGTCTAGTCCTATTGAAATGGTCAAACAGCAATGAAGTCAGCAGTCATTTGGTCTAGCAGTATGGAAATGATCTGACAGCAATAAAGTCAGCAGTCATTCGGTCTAGTCCTATTGAAATGGTCAAACAGCAATGAAGTCAGCAGTCATTTGGTCTAGCAGTATGGACATGATTTGACAGCAATGAAGTCAGCAGTCATTTGGTCTAGCAGTATTGAAGTCTTGTCCTATTGAAGTCATAATGATGAAACCAGCAGTATTTGGGCAAGTTTGCACCATCTCTGATCACTGCAAATAGTTTAATTGAAATGATCAAGACAGTGACGAAGCAGTTCAACAAGATCTGGTAGAAGGATCAAGTTATGAAAATTGATTTAATACGGGTTCTGTAATTATCCTTGTAATGACATTTCTGTGTTAGGTTCTAATCAACAATACACGTGCACATTTAGACTTAACGAATTAATTAATCTTATATTTCTGTATTCTTAAACCAATCTTTTTAATTATGATTTTCCGGAAGGCGATTTTTTCATCATGAACTGGTATCTATATTTTATACCTAGGACATGAAGTACTGTTACCTTCACACTGGAGGGATACCCAACTATTGTTGTCTACCTGCTATCAAGTTGAAGATATACAGTCACTGATAATGATTGTCTAAGTCACAAAAGAATCGATAATTCGACGGAAGTCCATTGACACTTTGAAAATAGAAAGTTTTGGTTGGGAGTTTATAATGAGGCTCAAAACATATTTAGCTGAACAATTTACTCAGGGGGGATAAAAGCCTACCTACAAAGCAGCTAAACAACAAACTATAATAACCTTAAGTGCAAATTGGGTGTTTTGTTCCGCAGAGTAGGGACAACAAGTACAAGACGCTTTCAGGGGAAAATATTGACTTATTTCTATATTCTAATTGATTTAACAAAATTATAAAAAAGGTCACCATCTACTCACTTTCGTATAAAGAATGAGATGAACAAAACTATAGTCGTCGTGTCGAAGTTGAATGTACATAGTAAATATTTCGTGTTATACGAGGTTCGACACAACCGAAAATGATAAATAAAAAAGGAACATTTATCTTTTACTTCGAGACGACCATACGTTCGACACATCCAAGTTCGACACAACGGTGTTTGACTGTTAAAACTCGTACAAGTCTACAGCTGAAGAAGTGATGTGAGAGTATTTCTATTTTCAAACGCTGATTGTGAGACAGGAAACAGCAGATATTACCCATGCACCCAGCTACGTCCTCCCGCCCTGACAGAAATGAGGGTGCATGTTTGACACGACTTGTGCGCGCCCTACAACACAGAATGGGCCGAGCATGGGAACCTGTGCGATTTTGTTTATCAACAAATTGACAGTAATTGGGGAAGGCGCGGCGCTATCACTCGTGCTACGGTAATGGATTAGGGGTGACGCAGGGGGGAGGGAGGTGGTCGGGCCGAACTGACAACCCCGCAGCTGTTCAGGGAACAAGATTTTGGAGTCGACGTAAAATATGGAACACCGTATGGGGAATAATCTTGTGAAAATATGTTCGGAATGTCGAGCCGAGCAGAATTTTCAAGTCAGGTCTATTTTAAAAAGTGATTTCTCACCGTGACAA